AGCTCCTTCAGCCTCTCCTCATCAGCCCTGTGCTCCAGACCCCTCACCATTTCATTGCCCTCCTTTAACACGTTCCAGGCCCTCAATATCCTTCTTGCAGTGAGGGGCCCAAAACTGGACGCAGCACTCGATGTAGAGATGTTGAACAAGACTGGACCCAAAGGTTCCCCAGGACAGCGCACGGCTCCCTTGGTGCAGGAGGGATCCTGGGGGAGCTGTGTGAGCTGAGCCAAATCCTGCAGCTGTGCTCAGCCATCGGTGCAGCTGGGTTTGAGCACAGCGCCTCATTTCTGTAGCAGAGAGGGAAACGTTTTCTCCCCTTGCTACGGCCGTGCCTGTTTGCTCTCCTTGCAGGTCACCCCTTTGCAGCCTGGATTTTTAAGCCTGCAAATCCACGATTCCTGTTTGGCCTCCTGGCCTCCAGTCGCGGCCCACGTGCGCGTGTCCGACGTGCTCGAGGTGGAGGTGGATCTCACTGAAAAGGTGACACAGCCCTGGGGAAGCCCCGCTGTTCCTAAAAGCCGCTATTATGGGATGCATTGCCCACCCAGCGGAGGCAAGACCACGAGATCAGGCTTGGCATCTCGCATCCAGAGCAAGGAAGGGTGCAAGTTGCTCCTTCCCTTCCTCCCTCTTCCCTTTCAATGCAGGCTGAGGTTGGCAGCCCCGTTACGGCCACTGTTCGAGTGCTGGGTTTTCAGCGACTTCCCCTGCAGAGTAAATACTTCAAGTACATGAAGCTGCAGCTGCAAGCAGCGGCGCCTGTTGTGACCTTCGGGTGAGCATTGCGTCGGGCCGGGCCGTTCCAAAGAGTGCTGAGAATATTCACCTTGTGAGGAAAACCAGGGGCTCTGTGCTGGGGCCCATCCTGTTTAATATCTTTATTGAGGACCCGGATGTGGGCATTGAATGCACCCTCAGTTTGCAGGTGACACCAAGCTGGGAGGTGGTGTGGATCTGCCTGAGGGCAGGGAGGCCCTGCAGAGGGATTTGGATAAGCTGGATCGCTGGGCTGAGGTGAACGGGCTGAGGTTCAACAGGGCCAAGTGCATTTGGGCACAGCAACCCCATGCAGCGCTGCAGGCTTGGGGATGAGCGGCTGTGAGTGTGAAGAAGAGAAGGAGCTGGGGGTGCTGGTGGATGCTGGGCTGAACAGGAGCCCACAGGGAGCCCGGGTGGCCAAAGGGCCAACGGCATCCTGGCCTGCAGGAGGAATGGCCAGCAGGAGCAGGGAGGTGAGCATCCCCTGTGCTCAGCTCTGGTGAGGCTGCACCTCCAGTGCTGGGTTCAGTTTTGGGCTCCTCACTGCAGGAAAGACGTTGAGGCCCTGGAGCGTTTGCAGAAAAGGGCAACGAAATGGTGAGGGGTGTGGAGCACAAAGATGAGGGGCGGATGGGGGAGCTGGGGTTGTTCAGAGTGGAGAAGAGGAGCTCAGGGGAGACCTCATTGCACTCTACAACTTCCTGAAGGGAGGCTGTGGTGAAGAGGGATTTGGCCTCTTCTCCCAGGCAACGAGCAGCACACGGGGCAATGGCCGCAAGTTGTACCAGAGGAGGTTTAGGTTGGACATAAGGAAGAACTTCTTCTCTCAGAGGGTGGTCAGGACTGCAATGGCTGCACAGGGGGTGGAGGAGGTGCAGTGCTCAAGAGGCGTCTGGATGAGGAGCTGTGTGATGAGGTTTGGTGCTGGTGGTGGCTGTGGTGATGAGGAGACGGTTGGAGCAGATGATCTTACAGGTCGTTTCCAACCTTGTGATTCTATGATTCTATGGTTCTAACAGACCTGAGGACTCCAGGGGAACTATTTGCGTTACTTCAGGCCTGGTAGCTCCATCCATCCGTTCCTCTTTCGACCAAGGAGTCGATTCCCTCACATTTATTGTCTTTATTACGTGGTGTTTTGCCATTCAGAGCTGTGTGCTGTGGGCAATACAAGCCTCTCTGTTGTAACTTGCCAGCTCAGCAGTTCCTGCCCGACTTATCTCATAGTTATAACACAGGAAATGAGAAGTGGAGTCATGCTGAAGTGTCTTCTAGGCAAGTGGAGGAAGTGGGAGAATATTCCCAGCTGCACGTACTCCATGCTGTTGCTGTGGGCCACACGACTTTGGTAGCTACAGCCTGGGACAGGATGGGCAGAAAAATCACTTCTGCTCCTCGGAAACTTGAGGTGAGGACGCACAGCTCTGAGATCCGCTCTTTTGTTGGCTGCTGTGGAATCCTTGTGTTCCAGGTGCTTCAGGGGAGATGAAAGCAGCTCTCTGCTGATTGCGTTTTGGCAGCGTGGCCCCTTGTTCTGCCAGCCCTTCCATTCGGAAGGCAGAAGCACTGCCCTCACTAGAGAGCTCTGTGCAAGGCTGTCCCCACATCCCCTTGGACGTGAACTGAGCGCCAGCAGCCTCTGTACTCCGTCTGGTGTATAGCAAAACACGTGTAATGGTTTACAGCAGAATATCCTTCCCTTCTGCCAGGTCTTTCCTCCGTTTAAACTGATCCCAAGGAAAATTACCCTTATTCCACACAATATGATGCAGGTGAGCATTTTTTCTTGCTTCCTTTCCCCCTTAGTATTTCACGATACGATTCATGTGGTGAATGGAGCTTAATTAAGCTTAGGAGGCAAGGCTCCGAATCCTATTAGTCTTCCTGCTCCCAAATCCTGCCCTGTGGCAGTGATCAGACCTCAGTTCAGCGCTGCGCATCCCAGAGCCCTCCTCGACTGCTGAATTGAGCTTCGGTGGTGCTGCACACTGCTTCTGAGTGCTGGGATGGGAGAGCTGGGTGCTGCTGGGCCGTGATGCCGTCCTGGTGCTGTGCCCTCAGAGGGTGTGAGGACGTGGCTGCATGGTGGGCTTTGTGTCCTTTGAAGCGAAAGGGCTGCGGTGGCAGAGGCGTGGGACAGGCAGCCGGAGGTGTCGATTCCTTCCGTCGCAGCAGCAATGTGGGGATTTGCTAATTGATGTCTGTCTTAATGAACGGCTCGCCCGTTTAAACGCGCTTCAGGTGATGTCTGAAGGTGGTCCCCAGCCACGATCCAGCGTCCACTTCTCTGTCTCCAACCGCTCCGTGGCTGAGGTCAGCTGCCTTGGACACGTAACAGCAAAGGCAGTGGGAAGAGCCAGCATCCAGGGCAGCGTTCAGGTGGTCAGCGAAGACACAGGAAGAGTGACCGTGTTTTCACAGGTATTTTCCCTCTGCGTTCTTTACTCCCTCTTCCCTTTGTCAGCCTTTTGAATCGCCTTGGTAGCCAGGCCTTGAAAAGCTGGCCTGGGAAAAAAAAACCTCCCGTTAAAGGCACGTGGATCTGGTGTTTGTCATCGGTAAAAACGGTCTTAACAGTCACAAGCAGGAGAGACGGCCGTCCCGAGCCGGAGGGGGGGAAACTTCTCCACTCTTCTTCCTTGCTTTCTGGCGCCCCCAGAGGGATGCAATGAAAGGCAGCGGGAATCCACGAGCTCCACAAAAACCCTCCGTGTGTTGGGCTGGGCAGCGGTCAGCAGCGCTGCAGGCTGGCCGTGGGGAGGTGCTGGCAGCCCCTTCCCTGCCTGACAGGGCAGCAGCCAGGGCAGCGTGCTTGGGAGGCAGAGCTGCAGGTCGA